GATTTACCTCATCTGAAAAACAGGAGGTGAATGGGCCTTACTGACAGTTTCTCCAATGTGCCCTGGTCAGATCAAGATCTAAAGTGATTGTTCTGAACATAAGAAGATGTGATGGCAGCATGCAGACCTTAGAATTTGGGGCATGGTGGGGCTCTGGTGCTTGTCTAGCATGGATTGAGGCTGAGTCACATCTTCACTACCTAAAGAAACAGAGAAACAGCAGTACAGCTTGCTTCTTGCATTGCTTGAACTAGTTCTCCAGGTCTGGGAATGAGACTGGGACCTACATTATGGCAGGAACCCCAGTTTCACAGATACCCTGGACTTTCTCCTGCAGCTGCGACATCAGTTCGGGAACGTATTCAGCCTGCAGTTTTCCTGGACTCCAGTGGTTGTGGTCAGCGGGCTGGTGGCTGCACGGGAGGCTCTGGGACCATGACGAGGACACCTCAGATCAACCACCAAGGCCCACCAATGATCTAATGGGCTTTGGGCCAAGAGCCCAAGGTAAAGGTCAATACGGCACAGATTTCATCAGGACAGAACTGTAGGGGCACTGACTAAAGGAGGACAGGGCTTTCTGTGTACGGTAATATGCTCAAGGGACAGTGGAAGTTCGTATTTTCTTAGTATAAAGCCGGTAAAGGAGCTGTTGCATGATGGTGGAAAGAAAGTTTGAGTCAGTTCAGGTGCCAGGAATAAACACATGACCCTAGGGCATTGGTTAGTACTTTCTGGTACTGAAATGTATTTCGCATTTCAGGAATTTTTGGGGCACCTACGGACCTGCGTGGCATGAGCAGCGGTGCTTCTGTCTAGCATGGATTGTGCAACTTGGGCCTGGGGAAGAAGTCCCTGGAGCAGTGGATGACCGAGGAGGCCACCTGTCTCTGTGATGGTTTTTGCCAGCTATGCTGGTGGGTGATGGGTTGAGGAATACAAGGAAAGGACCATAAACACAAGTGACTGGGAGATGGGACAACACCCTGACATGCATTCCTACTCCCTTTCACCCAGATGCCCTGTTAAGCAAAGTGGTTTGTAACGTGATCGCCTCCTCATGTATGCACGCCACTTTGAGTATGAAAACCCAAGCTTCGTTAGGTTGTTGAAATTCTTGGAGGACAGCTTGAGGGAGGACAAAGACATGATGCTTAAAGTACAGGGTTGAGGGGAGACTGCAGGGACAGCATCCTGCAGAAGGGATCTAAGAGGATAATTTGCCTGCAGGAGGGTTGGAAAGAAAGCATCAGGGAGGATCACTGCAGGAAGAAAGCGCTGGTGGTGGCCAAGCAGACAGCAGTAATGGGGGAGGTGGCTGAGGTTCAGGGCTGCAGAGAGGATTAGAGCCTGTGTCCACACTGGAAATGACACAAGCTCATGAGATTTCCATAGTAGGAGGTTCCTGTAGCAGCTCAGCAGCAGGAGAGAGCTTTGATGCTGGCACAGTGTAGGGATCGAGGCAAAAGTGTGGAGTACCAGGCTTTGGGTCACCATGGAGGAGGCTGTGTGTGAGATGGCTCCTATGAGTCTGGAGCACAGGAAGCACCCAGGCTCCCTCCATGCTGTCACAGGTAGTGAACTCAATGCCCCTGCTCCTGCACATCCCATGGGTGGCTGCCAAAGTCCTGCCTGTACAGAGGTCCTTCATGGCCTTGAATAATGAGCTATTGGCTGAGCACAATACAGGCTGGGACCCAGACCAGCCTCCCCAAGATCTGACTGATGCTTTCCTGAACGAGGTGCATAAGGTGAGAGTGGGCTGTGAGAAGGGATCAGGGTCTGTGAGCCAAGTGTTCTGGGAGGCCTCAGCATCTCCCAGAGACCCAGCACCTGTGCTGAGGGGTGGTGCATGGGGACATTTGAGCCATTCCTCCGACTTTCTTTTGAGGCCACCCTCTCTACCTGTCTCAGGCCTAGGGGAACTCCGAGAGCAACTTCAATGATGAGAACCTTTGTCTAGTCATATGTGATTTGTTTGGTGCAGGAATGGTGACCACATCAATCACAATGTCCTGGACTCTGCTCCTCATGATCCTGTACCCAGATTTGCAGCATGAACTGGATTTGGAAGGATGGAAACTGAAGGAAACTGAATTATGACAGGGTTTTAAAGCTTATTTGGGAAACCCATGGCTCAAAGCAGAGGCTTTGGCCAAGGATACTGAAGCAGGGATGTCCCTCTCATAGTGACACTGCCTTTAATACTGGGGTGTGCAGGGTGAGGGACCAATCTCTAAGATGTGACCCCTGTCGAGATGCTTCTCTGTCATGTGCAACAGGAGATCATTGAACTGATGGGATAGGAATGATGCCCAGAGATGGGGACCAGGCCCGCATGCCCTTCACCAATGCTGTGATACACGAGGTGCAGCAATTGCAGACATTGTCCCAATGGGTGTTACCCATATGACATCTTAAGACACTGAGGTGCACTCATCCCCAAGGTAGACCTGGCGCCCTCCTTTCCCAACATGGCCGCTCCCAGGTGTGGCCAGGAAGTGTTCTGTCACCTGGCCCCGATACCATTGGTGCTGCCAGGCTCAGCCTGTGTGTGTGGTGCTACACCCAATGCTGCCCTGTGCCTGTTGATCCCCCAGGGTGTTGGAGGATGAATTAACCCAAGTGATGAGTTGGAGGATCCTGTGCACATGGGGAAAAGTGGGAGCATAGGTACACTTGAGGAGCCCTGTCCTGTTTTCCTGTGATCATGCATGGTCCTGTGAAGCTTCTGGGACTGATCTATAATTGAGGGGATCCTTGTGACTCTGTACCCCACCCCCCTGGCAAAACTGAAACCCTAATCTGTTTAGACAATAGCCTGCATTCCTTCCTCCCCGTTCTATTTTGTATCTTTATGCACTTGAGCACTTTGAAAAGTCATCACAGTGGAATCGTACACCATTTATCTTTCCGATTGGCTTGTTTCACTTGAGGTACTGTGCTCAGGTTTCCTCCACAGCATAGCAGATACCAGTACATCTTTCTTTTTAAGGCAGTCTAACTTTCCATTGTGTGATTTTATAGTTCTTCCCTGTTCACAGTTTCTCGTAACTTGGTTTAGTTAAGAGTGGGAAACTAGAGTCTGAAAAGCTTTGGTGAAAACTTCTGAAATACACAACTTGTGAATTTTCAATCATAAGCCACCCTGAGTTGACCATGTAATTTTATTGCCTTTTCCTCCGTGTTGTTCGCCAAGCACGTGTATACCCGTGTGCCACATGTGGTTGCTCTGTTGGCTGTGGACCTGTCAGGTGCTTGGTTGTCTGAGCAGCCGTTGCCATGTCCCAGTGCTGGATTGAAGTTGGAAAGTCAGGAACAGCCTAAGGCTATCTCACAGTACTTCCCCTCGGCCCCCTTCATGGTGTCATGCGTGCACCAAAGAGAAGTGTGTGCAGTAAGTCTCCACCTACTCAAGGGGCCATTGCTGCCTAATTAGGGATATTTGAAGCCATGAGAGACCCGTCAGGACCCCTCACCTGAGCAGTGATGTTAGGGGACAGTACACCTCTGGGAAGTCACTCCCCAGCAAGCCCTGCACTCGAGCCACGGTCAGCAGAAGCCATGGGGTTCAGTGCAGCTCCATGGTCCAACATGTGCTTACATCAGCAGGGCCTCTGAAGCCCGTGGCCGGCACCTACTCTCCAAAAATGTCACAGCCTGACCTACCTGCCTCTGAAATGTGGAAATTTAAAATTTAACAACCTTTATTGGCTGTTAAGAGGAGTGGCTGAACCATGCAAAGAACAGCCAGCGCTGGAATCTTTCTTACCTGCTCTCGTCCTTCACATCCACCTGTCCAGCTCAGCCATGGCCCTGACAAATTGCAGCCTGTGGTGGGCATCAGCCATGAGGTGGTCTAGCCATGGCTAAGACGATTCAGGTTGGGGCAGGTGACATCTGGGCTCACTGATTCCTGTCAGTGGATCTCCAGGGCAGCCCCTCTCCCAGTAGCTCAGGGTAGATAACATTTGTAGCCAAGGTCCATGCTGATTGGTGTAAACAACTTACATAACCAAGGTCGTTACTGGCATGGGGCCACCAGGGTGACTCTGGTATAAATGGAGACTAAGCGGCCAAGGACTGCTGGGAGTGTACAGTGGTGAGGGCTGCAGAGGGACTACCCAGGTGGACTCTGGCTGAGCAGCTGAGTAAAAGATGTTTAACCCAGTCCACGGCTCTGCAGCTCTTCTTCAGGCTGCTTGAACCTCAAGTGACCTGCCTGGTCTACACTGGTGAAAGACAGGGTTTCCTTGTTCTGTTCCGTTGGCACTGGGTACTGGGTACTGAACCCAGGGCCTTAGCAGTATTTTCAATCCACAACCCTTTTTTATTTCTTGTAGCTCACTACACTGCCCAGGACCATCTTAAATTTAGGCTTCTCTTGCCTCAGCCTCCCAGAGTGCTGGGGTCACAAAAGTGATCCATCAAGCCTGGTTCTTGCCACACTTATTTGATTTAGTGAGACTTATTTGACAGCATCCATTGGCTCCAGCAATGCACAGTGTATTTTACCCTATGATTTAGTTGGTGCCTGTTTCGGGGAAGGGCTGCTGTGTTTTACTATAACATTGAATTCCATGAACATGTTTCTGGACTATTTCTAGACTGTTGCATCCAAGGAGTGCAGCGTTGTATCTGAGAGCATGCAGCGTGGATGAGGACCCTGATGCCGCACGGGAACTTTAACTTCAGTGCCCGCCGTCTCCTCTGCCCTGGAGCATAGAGCCTCCTGCTATGGCTTACTTTTCTTACCATAAAAGGAGCTAATGTGTTGAAACTATGGGCTATGACCAGCATCACCTACACCGAAGGGCTGGCCCTTGGAAGATTCAGCTCATTAATGCACATGTGTCTGGTGGCTGCCCCATCCTGACCATAGGACCCTCGCATGAGCAGGACAGCGCCTGAATCCCAGACACACCTGTCACTTTGTACATAAGGATGACTTCTGGAGGACAGCTTGACACCCCAAAATACACACATGGTAAATGAAGGCATGACTCTCTGATGGTCTTGGGTAGGAAGTTGATGCCAGCTTGATAGGCACACTTGGCTGAGGCCATGAGGCACAAGCTAGATGTGAGAAGTACCAGGAGTAAGTGGGTCTTGGCCTTCTGGTGACTTGAGTGGCCTCAGACCTGGTCTCCAGACTTGCAGGTCCCACCCTGTAGCTGTCTGCATCCTGCTGCCCCTCACACAGGATGGTTCAGTGGTGCCTCAGTCCCCAGCCAGGCTGTCTTGACCTGCAGTGGCTCTCTACTGGCCAGCAAAGACCTCCATGAAGTCTCCAAGGATGTCCTGCTGCAGCCTGAGGCACTGTCCCCAGGGTCCTCAAAGCTCTTCTGTCTGGCATGTTGGTTCTCTTACTTCTCCCTCTAGACGTGCACTGGGAGCAGCAGGCGTGCACGTGTTACCTTCCCGTGGTGCCCCAGGGTCACCCAGTATAACACAATGAGTGTTTTCCTCCCCTGGCCTCCCACCAGGTCTCTGCTCCCCTCCCCTTGTTATTGTGGCAGAGATGAGAAGGGCAGAGACTGCAGCGCCCAGCCTTTGCTCCCTCCAGCATCCTGTAGCTGCAGGGTCAACAGAGCAGTTGGTTCCTGCCAGAGGACAAAGGGCAGCCTCAGCTTTTTATAAGAGTACAGGCAGTTTGCTCTATAGTGCATGATGGTGGAGTGTGCTACCTGGTCCTGAGACACGAGTGTTGACAGGCTCCGTGTGTCCTGAGGGGTCCATGTTGGGAATTAACAAGGCAGCCATGGGGCTGATGACTGGAGATGCAGTGTATTCTGTGGCTGTAGCTCTGGCCGTCTTCCTGCTCCTGGTGGACCTGATGCACCGGCGCCAGCGCTGGGCTGCTCGCTACCCGCCAGGCCCTGTGCCTGTGCCCGGGCTGGGCAACCTGCTGCAGGTGGACTTTGAGAACCCGGCATACTCCTTCTACAAGGTGAGGGAGGTGGAGGTGGTGATGGCGAAGGTCACAGTGACCTTCAGCTGCAGACAGTGGTGGGAGGCAAAGCTACAGGCTAGACAGAGCCCTGGGACCCCAAGAGGAAAGGCGGAGACAGCATTTCTGGGGAAGGGCCTGCAGACCCTTTTGCCTTTCCAAGGACATGCGTGGAGTGGGACAGTCAGTGGAACTGTGATTGAGTGTAGGGTAGAAGTTGTTTAAGCCCCAAGTTTCTCCTGCTGACATCAGAGGGAAAGGTGCTGGTTTGGGGCAGTGGAGCCAGGGCCCTTCCTCAGGCAGGAAGTTGAGGTTCAGAAGTAGCCATTGCCTGCTTCATGGTATTTGCTCAGTGGGTCTTGGGTCTCAAGGCTCTTGTCCTTGAGATTTCCTCATCTCTAACCTGGGACAGAGGGGCCCAAACTACAGCATCCTGACTCCATCCAGATCATAGCTAGGGGAGAGGCCAGATCTGCCTCTGAAGTGATTGCTCTGAACGTCAGAGGATGTGACTCCCAGCATCGGGAACCGAGATCTTAGGGCTTAGTGGGACCTGGGTTCCTGCATGGAACCAGGAGTTCCACCCGCACTGCTGAAAAGCAACAAAACAAAACAAACCAATAAAACAAACAAACAAAAACCAAGGTTGTTCTGGTTTTGTGTAATGATCTTGGAGTTCCCGGCTTGACAAGCACCCTGATTTCCACACAAAGCTTCGAAGTCGCTTTGGGGACGTGTTCAGCCTGCAGCTGGCCTGGAAGCCTGTGGTCGTGGTCAACGGACTGTCAGCTGTGCGGGAGGCGCTGGTGAAGCACAGCGAGGAGACTGCAGACCGGCCACCCTTTCCCATCTATGAGCACCTGGGCTTCAGACAGAATTCCAAAGGCAAAGTGTGGAAGGGCACAGATGGTGTCAGAACAGGACTTGTGGACGGTGACCAGTGGGAGGCCAGGGCCTAATGGGAAGGGTGATGTGCTCATGGACACAAGGAACAGCCCTGTGTCCCTAGGGTGAATTCTGGGCAGGGTGGGGGGTTAGCTTGTTGGTCTGGGGAGAACCTATACCCTAGGAATAGAGGAGAGATGAGGGCACAGAGAATGTGACCAGTGCCCTTGGTCACTCAGGTGCCTGCCTCACCCACAGGTGTGGTTCTGGCACCCTATGGGCCCGCCTGGCGTCAGCAGCGGCGCTTCTCCATGTCCACCCTGCGCAACTTCGGCCTGGGGAAGAAGTCGCTGGAGCAGTGGGTGACTGAGGAGGCCGCCTGCCTGTGTGCCGCGTTTGCTTCCCAGGATGGTGGGTAATGGGCCAAGGGGCATCAAGACGGGACAAGGCAGGAGAGTGACAGAAGGGTTAACACCATGAGATTCATCCTTGTTCCCAGGACACCCCTGTTTCCCTAATGACCTGTTGAGCAAAGCCGTGTGCAACGTGATTGCCTCTCTCATCTATGCCCGCCGCTTCGAGTATGAGGACCCAGGCTTCATGAGGATGATGGACCTGCTGGAGGACTCTTTGAAGGAGGACTCTGGCTTGGTTCCCCAGGTGGGCTCTGGGCAGTCTGGAAAAGGAGGCAGATTTGCATGCAGGGGCAACAGGAACAGGGCATCCGGTAGAGGATACCACAGGAAGAAAGGGCTGGAGGTGGCAAATGTTAGAAAACAGTCATGGAGAGGAGGCCCAGGGTCAGGACTCCAGGGAGGAGACCCTCTACCTCCTGTCCACATTGGGAGCTACTGACGCTCCTGAGATTTCCACGGTAGCATCCTCTTCAGCAGCCCGGGCCAGCAGACAGCGTGGAGAACACATGTCACAGTGACAAGGGCAGCCCGTGTCCTCCTTGAGGAGGCTGGGACCTGAAGCTGGTCTAGCTAAGCGCTGAGCATAGCAGGGACCCAGACCCTCTCTGTTGCCATCACAGGTGCTGAACACAGTCCCCGTGCTCCTGCGCATCCCTGGGGTGGCTGAGAAGGCCTTGCCTGCACTGAAAGCCTTCTTGGATCTCTTGGATGAGCTGTTGACAGAGCACAGGATGACCCGGGACCCATCACAGCCACCCCGAGACCTGACTGATGCCTTCCTGTCTGAGGTGGACAAGGTGAGGGGCCGGGTCCTGGGGATCCAGTGAGGTGAGGGAAGGTGAGGTGGGGCCTGGGTGTCTCAAGGGACCCAGCACCTGAGTAGGTGGATGTACAATTGGGGTCATTTTGGCGCTTCCTGCATCTTTCTCCTGAGCCCACCCTCTCTGTCTGGCACAGGCCAAGGGGAACCCCGAGAGCAGCTTCAATGATGAGAACCTGCGCATGGTTGTAGCTGACCTGTTTATAGCAGGGATGGTGACCACTTCAACCACGCTGACCTGGGCCCTGCTGCTTATGATTCTGCACCCAGATGTGCAGCGTGAGCCCAGCTGGGGCTGGGTGGGAGAATGAGGGAGGAATAGAAGTAGCAGGGTCCCCAAGAGTAGTTGTGACACCTGTGGGGAGACAAGGGCTTTCGTAAGGTTTTGTAAGCATGACACCTGCTCACCTGGACACAGCCCTTAATGCCAGGGTGGAGAGGGTCAGGGCACAGCTCCCGGGACTTATTCACCATGGTAACCCTTGTGTGTGCAGGCCATGTGCAACAGGAGATCGATGAAGTGATAGGGCAGGGGCGGTGCCCAGAGATGGCGGACCAGGCCCGCATGCCCTTCACCAATGCCGTGATTCATGAGGTGCAGCGCTTTGCAGACATTGTACCAATGGGTGTTCCCCACATGACGTCACGTGACACTGAGGTGCAGGGCTTCCTCATCCCCAAGGTAGGCCTAAGGCCCTCCTTCCTCAGCCTGGCCAGTGGATTCCCCTGGTGCTGCCAGGCCCAGGCTGGCTGCATGTGATGTTGAGCACAGACAGTGCCTCCCTGTCCCCAATGAGTCTCTTGGACAATGTAGTAAAGAAGTTTCCAGCCGGGGGGTGTCACATGTCTGTGATCACAGCCCTTGTGAGGCAGAGGAAAGAGGATTGTAGTGAGTTAAATGCCAGCCTGGACTACACAGTGAGTGTTTTTCAAAAACAAAACTAAATAAATCCAAATTAAATTTAAAAAGAAGTAACTATCTTGACAGAGCCACTTCATGCAGGCACTGGTAGCAGTGTGGGCCCCCTGGGAGCCGTGTGCCCTGACTCTGTCACAGAATCAGAGAGGGCACGTAGGGTTAAACCAAAGGGCCCAGGTGTGAGGCGGGTAGAGTGTGCTCGTGCATCCTGAGTGGCAGCACGAACTGTGTCCCCACCTTGTCCACCTTCATGCTGTGCATCTCCTGCCAGGGGACCACACTTATCACCAACCTGTCATCGGTGCTGAAGGATGAGACCGCCTGGGAGAAGCCCCTCAAATTCCACCCTGCACACTTCCTGGATCCCGAGGGCCGCTTTGTGAAGCCCGAGGCCTTCATGCCATTCTCAGCAGGTGCCTGCTTTTTGGGTACACGGTCCCTGTGCCCTTTTCAGGGTGCCTTGCAGGGAGGCACCCAGGCCGCAGTCTGACTGAGCCCTTTTCCCTCCCACAGGTCCCCGCACATGCCTCGGGGAGCCCCTGGCCCGCATGGAGCTCTTCCTGTTCTTCACCTGCCTGCTGCAGCGCTTCAGCTTCTCGGTGCCTGAGGGGCAGCCCCGGCCCAGCGACCATGGTGTCTTTTACACCATTTTGATCCCACCCCCCTACCAGCTCTGTGCTGTGGCGCGCTAGAGAAGGCATGAAGGCCCCAACTTGCCCCCAGCTGGGGCCCTGAGCGATAATAAACCAGTCTTGTCTCTGCCAGTTGGTGTCTGAATGTACCCCCTGACTCCCCGTTCTCTGAGTCAGCCAGGTCCCCTGTGTCATCCACCCTGGCAGCCACTGCAGTCCACAAGCAAACTGGTATTATTGATGCTCAGGAGGTGACAGCTCACCTCAGGCCACCCCGACACCCATACCAGTGGGTGGTGGCAAAGCCCAGGCATCAAATGGGCTCCATGCGTGTCAGGCAGTTTTGGTAGCAGTGTGGGCCCCCTGGGAGCCGTGTGCCCTGACTCTGCCATCCCCAAGAATCCCCCAAGGTCTCAGAACCAGGGAAGCTGTCACACTCATCCTTTTGTTTTTTCAGAGGCAAGGAGAGATTGAATCAGCAGCAGGAAAAGGTGCTCAGGGTGGAATCCAGGAAGCCGGCAGGAGGGTTCAGCTGTGCTCTCAGAGGAGAGTCGCAGACGTGGTCAGTGCTCCCAGCAGCAGGGTGGGACACACATGGTGGCACTGGCCATCGGGCAGCTTAGTAGGACCTTGGTATTCAAGAATTCACTGGGGTTCCATTTTGAGGGGTTTGGATTTCAACGTGGTTGATATCCCTGACTCAGTCTTTGTACTGCTGGGTCAACGAGGCAGCTCAAGGCTCCCGCAATAATGCAAAGAAAAAAAACTCCTATCTGGTGTAGGTAGAGCTCGAGGCGTGCGCAGAGCCCCAGGCGTGTAAAGGATCCTTCATCAGAAAGGGGTCCAAAGGCCTCAGGAAAGGCTCCCAGCAGTGGGTTTGGAGTCTGACATGCGCTTGCTGTCAGCAGCACTGAGGTCTCCCAGCAGCTTAGGTGACTTACTGCCTGGCCCTCTCCTCTTGACTCTGAGAGCAAAATAATCACATGCGCTTCAGTGTCTCTATTTTTCTTTTTCAATGATAAGATATCTCAAAGTATGACATTTTGCATTTGTGGTCTTTTGCTGTGTGTGTGGCCTGCCAATGTGTGTGGTGTGCTGAGAGGGAACCCGAGGCTCTGTGCATTTCTGCCCTGAGCTCCACCCAGGCCCTTTTCCCAGTGTACTCAGTAGCCCGCAGCCCTCAGCACTGCTCCTCCACTGATCTCTTTCCAGCTGTGAAAACTGAGGCTCTCAATTCCTGTGACAGTGGCTCCCATCCCCTCCTCTGCCCTCTGCTGGTGACCACCAGTCTACTTTCTGTTTCTGAGTCTGACCCCAGTGGCTATGGGGAGATCATCAGAGAGGAATCTCATGACTTTTCAGGTAAGGCATCGTCCTCAGGATTCCTCCATGTGGCAGCAGGTGTCATGGCTCCTTTGCTTGAAGGCAGCGTAACTTCATTGTGTGGATTCCCAGGAGCCCCCAACCGCACTGTCTCTCCTTCCTCAGTGCCTTTTAAAGGTGGGCATCACAGTCTGAACACGTTCCATGCAGATTCCAGAAACTGCTAATTCATAAATTGTCAGTCATGAGCTTTCCCGAGGAGCCTGGTTAATCCCTTGCCTCCCTCCTCTCCGCTACTCACTAAGCATGGAGCGGACATCTTCATTCAGCAGATCCATGCTGCACTGGATTGGGATCTGTCAGTCACTTCACAATGGGTTTGGTGATCACATGGACTGTTGCTCTCTCCAGTGTGATGTTGACATTTAAGGCCCAGAGCAGCTGATGCCATGGCACTGTGCCCCCACCCTTTCCTCATTTCCTGTCATCACGGAGATTTTGATCAGCTTGCAGCATCCCACAGGTGTGTGCACAGAGCTGGGGTACCTGGGAGAGGAGACCCTGTTCAAAGCCCCCATCACAGCCCACTGGTATAACTGTCTTTTTATTAGTGGTTGCCGCTAATCCCTGGCCTGATTTATAATTTGCACTGCATCATGGGTGTGTGTATTAGGGTTCTCTGAGAACACAGCCCTGTATAAGTATGCATGGGGTTTATTAGGCAGGCTTAGAGATGCGGGAGACTACAGTGGCCGTCCAGGCACCGGAGCACTGGAGGGTCCAGTAATTGCTCAGCCCAAAAGATGGAAAGCGCAGAACAGGGATCAGGATGCAGTGCCATCCAAGGGCAAAGGGCTGCGAGTTCCCTGAAGGTCTTCAGTGGGAGACTCTGGAGAAGGGTGCTCAAAGACCGCAGCAGCAGAAGGCAGGGCTGCTCGGTGACTAGTTCTTCAGAACGAGAAAGGCTTCTGTTTCTTTTCCTTTCCTTCTGTGTTGTATCCATGCTGTGAACCTAGTGGTTGGTGCCAGTCACACCTGGGGTGGGTCTTTCCCGCTCACTTAGCTGTCTGCGTGCCTGTGATTCCCCAACACTGCCACACTCTGCTTTACTGAGCTGGTAGGCATTCCTTAAGGCATTCAGACCAACACACCACAATTGGTCATCACATAGGTTCCCATGAAAAGAAACAGAGTATTTTACGGTCTGGTTGTGTAGGCAAACCCCAGGAGGCACCTACTGGGGATTTGGAACATGTCCTCGGTGATAAGCGACTCTGCTGTCCCACACTGTACTTATAGTCTCCTCTGCCACGGTTAGTCACCACAAATAGAAATGATCTGATGAGGGGTTGCAGTTCTGTCCCTGAGACCCTCCTTCTGATTTTTATGGATGTATTCCTGGATCACATGACAATTCTTAATTTTTTCAGGTGCCCCCGTAGTGATCCGCACAGAGGCTCTGCCATTTGACGTCCCTAACAAGAGGCCCTGGCACTGGCCTCTGTCTCCACATCCTGGGACCTTTTCCTGTGTTCACTTTCTTGCTGGAAGCATCCTGATGCCTGGGAAGTGGCCTTTCATTGTCCTATGAGGAGTGCTGTACAGTGGCTGTTCATAGGTGCACTGACCATTCGTATATTCTGTTTAGAATAATTCTGTGTATTGAAGTCTGTTGTTCATTTTCAAATGGAGTTTTCTAGGTTTTATGTATACGTTTTGCAGGTGTTACACTCTTGTCGTATGTAACCTAAAATTATTTTCTCAGTATTCTGCCATTAGTTTGGCTCTTTCCTGGGCTAATAATGACTTCAGTTATAGGATAGTATTTAATTCTCATGAAGTCCAAAATGTGTATTTTCACCTTCTTGTCTGTGTCTCTGGAATCCTGCCCAACACTGCCAGATTCAGTGTGAGGGTGCTTTTGTTCTATGTTTTCTTCTAGAGTTTGAGCACATACATTCAGAGCTTTGACTCATTTAATTTCTGAGTACACTGCTTGCTATGGATCACCTTCATTTTCGTGCATGTGGAGTTCCAGCTTCTTAGCAGTGTTTCTTAAAGGACTGTTCTTCCCAATAGCATGGACTTGGAAAACTCGCTGAAGAACCTTTTGCCATACACGGTTACGGGTTGGTCCTGCCAGGGGTGCATTCTGAGCAAAGCATCCTTAGGAGATCTGTTTGCCCAGTGAAATCCTAGGCTGCCTTAGACAAACCTGGAGACTCCACTCACACATAGGTGGGTCGTGGAGCTTCTTGGTTCTCACCTTCAAACTCTTAAAGGACTCCTGCTCCCCCTGGTTTTCCTTAGTTTCCTCTTCCTCTGTGGTGTCTCCCGTCTCTTCCTTGGCCTCCTGCTCTACCTCCTTCACATGTCAATAGGAACTGAACTGAGGGCTTTTTCTTACAGTTACATATCTAGTCTTTTTTATACTTTATTTTGAGACAAGGTTTTAATATGTCCCCAATGTACCTCAAAGTTGTGATCCTCCTGCCTTAGCTTTACAGAATGCTAGGATTACAGCTCCCCCCCCCCCCCCCCGGACTGAATGCTGATGGTAGCTACAACCTAGTGCATACTCTATATAATCTTAGGAGAACACTCATGAATATGAGGTCTGTTATTCACTTAAACATCCATATGCTGTTACAGAAGAACCAATTATCAAACCAAATAGAAGAGTCTTCGTACTGAGGAGTTACATGCCAACTATTTATTATGTCAGCAGGCTAGCAGGACCAAATCCAAATCACTCCAACTGAGGCAGTTTTGGGTTCAGTTTGAATAGAGTTTGAGAGCAGGACGTACAAGACAGATAGCAGGCTATTACATGATTGGTTACATACATTGTCACTCAGGTCATTCTAAATAGATTTACTTCAAAGTTTATCATAAGACAGAAGCATCCTGGTTCCAGTCCAGGAAGGGAGGAAGTCTAAAAGTCCCCATTAGGAAGAGCCTCCCATCAGATTTGGAACCCTTTGTCTGAGACCTTCCCACAGCTGATGGGAGCTTTTTCTTTCTATTCCTGACTGTTTAGCATAATGACAGCCTTCCTCCTCCGGAAGTAGGCAGGTACCTCCATTCCGGGCTGTCAGGAGGCGTAAGGCTCTTGGCCAAGGAATCTATTTGGCCCTGCAGGGTGTACTGAGGTTTGTGTGTTGGTAAAATCTCCAGCTGTCTGACACTTAACTCTGAGTACTGCTGTTGACTTCCTCCCATAGCTGTAGCACTGAGGGTCAGTCTCCCCAGTATTGCTTGCCCAGCTAATTTGGGCATTATCATTGGGTCCCATTTTTGACATCACTGCTGGGTAAGTGTAGGTCTTTATCATGAATACACACAGAGGTCAGGTACCAGGAAAGCAAGTGCACAAAGACTCATTTTCGTGCTATCAAACCCTTGATGTAACTCATCAGCAAAAAGAAAGAAAGTTCCAGAGGGGAGACTGACACTCAACACACCTATACAGTCATCAGAAGCGCCTGGCCCTTACCGGACCCCCAAAAGCCAGACATGTTCCCCACACCACTGGTGGATGGGGCTGGAGCAGGCCACCAGGAGCGCCAGCTGCATTAAGGGTTATTGTGAAAGAGCCCTGAAGCTCCACAGGAAAGGACCGAGGGACCCAGAGTCAGCGGTCTTTTTCTAAGTCTGGGTTCATGGCTTTCAGGACCCAGTGGGTACCATTAATCATACACAGAGCTGTGTACACCACTGCTATTTTTTAAATCAGGGACTATCAGCTCTTGGGTCTCTTTTATAATTGTGACCAAAACCCATCAGGGTGCTTTTGCTTTCCCTATTTTTGTCATAGGCCTTAGCCAAATCTGTCATCATCTACTCTGACAGGTAGGATGAAAGTCAGGTTAGGCTCAATGACTTGTAGGGCTGTGTAACAGCCCCCTGTGAGTCCAGCAAGCAGCTTCTGCGGCATCTACCCAGCCCTATCTTGTGCCCCCTTTGGTCACCTTGGATAAAGTTCACAGCAGGATAGGCAGATGAGGTGTATCTGCCAGAAACCTAGCAAGCCCATATACGCCGGTAACTGGTGGGTTGTCGTGGGCCTGGTCTTACCTAACCATATCGCAACCAAGAATTTGACAGACAAGCCAGTTCCCTGGACCTTCTCTTTGCCTGTGATTTACCCCCGTGTTAGCAAAGCTTTCTTTACATTATGCATGGTGGCTTTTAAATTGGCAAGACAACCAGGTTAACATAATTATCATCAACACAAAAGAGTGACACAGAGTGTGGCCTGGCCTGGGTGGCCAGGTCCCGGCCACCAGGACATGATGCAAAGTTGAGCTATGCAAGTAGCCTTGTGGCAACACCTGAAAGGTCCATTGCCTGCCCTCCTGGGTGAAGGCAAATAGGTTCTGACTGCCAGAGTCAGGGTGACACATTGCAGTCATTCACCACGACCCATCTGGTTTCTGCATGGCCATACTGAAGGGCTCTGCATAGGAAGTATCACCCTTGCTTTTTTTTTTTTTTTAATTTCAAGACCTGCTGTCCCATGTGCTAATGGCCTCCAGGCAGCCAAGACTGCTTCATGCACACAAGCCACATGGCCCATGAGAGTGTCTGTGCTGCATGGTGTTGAGCCGAGCACCATCCGTATGTCCACCCCCAGCATGTGTTCAGCAACTAGGGAAACATAAACATCATACAGGCATGGGGCAAAGTGCCTGGTGCCCAAAGTCATCTGGGTCTTGTGGATCATGATATAGAGATCTCTATACCCTTTTAAGTATGCAGCAGGTCCTGTGAAACAGTCTGGGTTATACATTAGCATGTTTCTTTAACTGACGGCTTTTAGAGAATTGAGTGCACAGCCTGCTGTCTGCCATGCAGGAAAGGTGTAGGGGAAGGGTTGGCAGGGAAAAGCTGCTTAAATGGTGGCAGTGGGGAAGCAGAGACAGAGGAGAGGAGCCAGGGAGGGACACATGTACTCTGCTAGGTCACAATCCCAGTGTCCCCCTCCTCCTACCTGGCCTCACTTATCAAAGGCATATTTCACTGTGGATTATTCTGTGCACTGATGAGCACCTCATGATCCCATACCCTTCCAAAAACCCAACCTGTGAATACTTGAGACATTTGGGAACATTCTAGGTCTGAGGCATAAAAATGGTTGTGGAGGGTGCAGTGCAGTACAGTGCTGCAGAGCTGGGGAAGAGCGAGCCAGGGGCCTGTGGCAGAGCTCTGTCTCCTCCAGGAGGGAGAAACAGGTCTAGGTGGCACCACAGCTGATGGTCCCTGCTCTGTGAGTTATCAGAGAGTGCTCTGGGGATGATGGTGGGTCCAGGCCACTGTGGCCAGGACTTGGAATTGAGAAGCCAAGCTGGAGGTGTCTGTGTCCCCTGAAGCCAGGTGAAAGGGGAGTTGCCTTCCCAGGGTGTCATCACCTGTGTGATAGGGAAGAGCAACACCCAGGCCCCATAAGGGCGTAATCAGGTGTGAGTGCTGAAGCCTCTCCCCCAGTCTTTGGAGAAAGTGAAAGAGAGGAGAGGCTGCAACAGGGATCAAAGAGGCACCACAGCATTCAGGTTCTTCTCACTGAAGCAGTTTGATGTGTTTTAGGAACACAGAATCATTTTTCCAGAAATGCTTCTTGTCCCTGTTTTAGGTTTCTGATCTGTGGGGCCTATGAGCCCTGGCTCAGTCTGTTGCCGGGAGATACAGCACTGTGCCTTGTTACCACAAGGAGATTATAAGAGAGTTCTATAAAAATTAAGTGGGCTTGCCAGGTGTGGTGGTGCACTCTTGGAATCCCAGCACTCAGAAGGCTGAGCCAGGAGGAATGTTGCAAGTTTGAGACCAGCCTGGGCTACAAAGTGAGCCTAAACTGCATAGTAACACTGTGTCTCAAAAGGACAAAAATTTTTTTAAAAAAGTGTGCTCGACACATAACATGTTCAGCACGTTAATTCTCGTGAAACCAGATCTGTTCCTCTGTATGAGTTTTTGCCTCAAGGAGAAAGTAGGGCAGCAGGAATAGGTAGGGTAGAGGGCTAGGACCCAGAGGGCATCAGGAAGAATGTGAACATGGTTAGAAACAGAGTTCCACTCTCTGGAAAGATTTCCTTGCAGTGTGGGCCTTGTGCTTGCCCTACTGGGTCAATTCTCTCCTGTGAACTACAGCTGTCCCTCATTAAGCAAGTGCGTAGAGTATTCATGTGACTGGGCTAGTGCTCCAAATCATGCAGAGCAGCCTGTGCCTCCGCTGCCCTGACAGAGCAACGGTCAAAGGGCAGAGGTCAGAAAGTTTAGTTCCTGACCCCACAGTGATTTAAGTGCTGGCTCTGTGTGTGTGTGTGTATGTGTGTGTGTGTGTGTGTTTCTGTGTTTGTGGTGCTTCCCTTTGTTGACTGTCACTCAGCAACAGCCTTTTTCCCACTTGCATTTTTATACAAAAAGCCCACTTTCCTGCACAAGCCAATGGAATGTCCTGTGGCTGTGCTCTGGCTGAGGGGCAGTGGGTGGTGGATGTTTGATTAGGAGTCGCACAGGAGGTCCAGTGCTGAAACACATGGATTCAGCAATGTTTGGGAAAGTCGGTGTTGCAATCTGTGGGGCTGAACAGAGCAGTGACAGGTGCTGGCCATGAGCTCAGACTTTTTTCCTTAAATCTTCACCATTAGATGAGGTTGTGGGCTCATGAGCGCTATGCACCATGTCATTACTGATAGTGACCACCTGGTCAAGGTGCAGGGGAAGAGAAAAGCCTGTTATGTCCCTAGTCAATCACGCTGCTGACTGACATGCACCAAATCAAATAGGGATGGTGGGCTGAGGAGTTGCTGCCTAGGAGAGTGAGGGGAACTCTGGCTCTCGTTCACTGGTGCAGTGCATGCTTCACGTGCTGCTTGGATGTGGGGAGAAACTGCACCAAAACACCATCCGAAGAGCCCAGGAGCTGTAGCTGTGGCCAGAGACAGGGCCCCTGAGCATGACCTCATACCCCTGTGACTATGAATGACTGTTGTCCCAGGCCCAGAAACCTCTACCCAACCTCCTGTGAGGCCCTAAAAATCTCTGCTCCACCCGCTCACCTCCCCTTCTCTAGCCGGAGTACATGCTGTCACGCAGCCTCCCTGGGCCCTCATGGGTTTTGCATTGTTGCTTGGTAAATTATTTTCTGGTTGACTGGACCTCTTAGATGGATTTGCAGATGAGGGTTTGAAACAAGAGGCTTGAAAGAAAAGCACAGGCTCCTGCATGGAAGGATAATTAAATGTGAGCTGAAGTAAGGAGTCAAACATCTTACATCTTTCCCAGCAAAGAGTCCATTAAATCAAAGGGGAACAGAAACCTGAACTGCTGTGGCTGTGCTGTACAAGCTGTCTCATCTTCTGACAGGAAGAAGCGTGGGCTCCTCATGGGGGAGGCCTGACATGAGCACTGCTTCGTGCTGAGATTCTTCAGGCCTCTGTGGCCTGGGATCAGGTCTTAATTTCTGTTCTTCAGGGTGGTCAGGTTTAGCTTCTCTGTATGTGATTGTACTTGTGTGCTTCACTTGGAGAAGGGGAACCCAGTGACCTGTCTGTCTGTGGCCTGGTCAGAGAGGCCTGAAAGGACCTGAAGCTGCTGGAGATGGTTTTGAGACTCTTTGGACACCAGTTAATCCCTGTTGGGTAGCAAAATTCTCCACCAAGTCTTCGTGATAGTCCTACTGCAGTCTGAGTAACCATCACATTCAGCAGAGTCCTCTGGTTGGTTCCCTCACCTGCCTGACCTCCATCTGCTTTTGACTGTGCTTCTTGGAGCAGCAATCCACATACTATTCCAGGTCCAGAGCTGAAACCTGCATGACCAATATGCATAGCTCTATGGAGCTGTCTTCCCAGGAGTGTCCCCTGCTCTGTGTATCACCAGGAAGTGGCAGGTGGGGCAATGAACTCATCTGACCTATGGAACTCATCTGACCTGCCCCTCTCTGCACCTCTATTTGCACAGTGAATAGCCATGTTGTCTAACATCAGAGGACAAAGGGCAGCCTTAGATGCTTTATAAAAGGACAGCCGGCCTGTTCAAATATGCAGGGAGTAGTAGAGTGTTCTATTTACTTCTAGGTGACACAACTGGACAAAGATCTGTTAGTGCAGTGGAACCCAGTGGTCACAAAGGCAGCCATGGGGTTGCTGACTGGGGACGCACTGTACTCTGTGGCCGTGGCTCTGGCCATCTTCCTGCTCCTGGTGGACCTGATGCACCGGCGCCAACGCTGGGCTGCTCGATACCCGCCAGGCCCTGTGCCTGTGCCCGGGCTGGGCAACCTGCTGCAGGTGGACTTCAAGAACATGGCTTACTCATGCTACAAGGTGAGGAAGCTGGTGGTGGAGAGCAGCCAAGGCCAGGTGACCCTCCCCTGGGCTGACATGCGGTGAGTGGCAGGTGAAGACACTGTGTAGAGAATGACCTCATAGCCCAAGAGGAGGGAGGTAGACGACCTGTTTGGAGGAGGACTCTAGCAGAGCAGAGAAGCGCTCTGGACTTGCCATTGGCAAAGGTGCAGGAAGGCAGAGACAGGAGGTTGGGCAGTATATACAGTGGGACTGGCACCCGATTAGATGGGACAGAAGCTTCGTACACACCAGGTCCCTTCAGGTACCTCAGAGGGAAGGAAGTACCTGGGGATGCAGGAGCAAAGCAAGATGGTCTTAGGCAGCTTTTGATTCAGGAAGTTGATACTGTGAAGAGGTCCTATGAGCACCGTCAGATCTCTTGGCTGCCGTAGAGTCCTGGCCCTCTCTGCTATTCTCTGAGAACCTGAGTTGCCTCATCTCAAAAATGGGAGGGAATTGGCTTCAATGATTGTTCCTCCACTCTGCCCAGGACACACCTGGGTGGTTGGCTCTAGATCTAAAGTAATCACTCTGACCATAAGAAGATGTGATAGCAGCATGCAAACACTAGGTGTCCGCGCGTAGTGGGCTAGAGTGCTTGTCTAGCTGGGGCGAGGCTGTCAGTGCCATCTTCACTACCATAAAGGAAAAGGAAACCAACAGGAGTGTGGCTGGTTCTTCCACTTTTTGAACTGGGTCTCCAGGTCTTGGGAGTGAGATGGGGATGCACATTGTGGCAGGAATATCAGCTTCACAGGCGTCTTGTCCCTCCACCTCTAGCTGCGACATCAGTTTGGGGACGTGTTCAGCCTGCAGTTTGCCTGGACTCCAGTGGTTGTGGTCAATGGTCTGGCAGCTATGCGGGAGGCTCTGGTGAACGACAAAGAGGACACCTCAGATCGGCCACCACTGGCCACCAATGAACTAATTGGCTTTGGACCAAAAGCCCAAGGTAAAACTCAGTAGGGCACAGATGACAATAGTGTGGAACTTTGGGGGTAGTGACTAAGGATGCAGAGATCTTACTGCATATGTTGACATAGTTAAGGGATAATGGAAATCCTTGTCTTCTGGAAAAAAGCTGTTGCACTTTATGCAGTGAGGAGATGATACCAGGAACAGGTTAATACTTTCTGCTACTGACACTGCTTCTCATTCAGGGGTTATTAGGGCACCCTATGGACCTGTGTGGCGTGAGCAGCGGCGCTTCTGTGTGTCCACCCTGCGCAACTTCGGCCTGGGGAAGAAGTCTCTGGAGCAGTGGGTGACCGAGGAGGCCGCCTGTCTCTGTGATGGTTTTGCCAGCCATGCTGGTGGGTGACAGTTGAGGGACACAAGGAAAAGACAATGCAGTGATGTCACTGGGAGAAAGGGGGAAACTCTAACATGCATTCCTACTCCCAGGACGGCCCTTTCGCCCCTACGGGCTGCTAAGCAAAGCTGTATGCAACGTGATCGCCTGCCTCGTGTATGCACGACACTTTGAGTATGATGACCCAAGCTTTATCAGGTTGCTGAGTTGTCTGGAAGCTGGCATGATGGATGACAGTGTCTTCCTGGTTCAGGTGCAGTGTTGAGGGGAGTCTGTGCAGAGACAGCTTCCTGCAGAAGGGCTCTGAAGGGATAATTCGCCTGCAGGAGGGATGGGAAGAAAACATCAGGGAGGATCACTGCAGGAAGAAAGGGCTGGTGGTGGCCAAGCAGAGAGCAGTAATGGGAGAGGTGGTTGAGGTTCAGAGCTGCAGAGAGGAGTGTCTACGATGGAAGCAACACAAGTTCATGAGGTTTACATGGTAGGATGTTCCTGTGGCAGGTCAGCAGCAGGAGAGAGCTTTGATGCTGGTACAGTGGAGGGGATCACAGCAAAGGTGTGGAGCGTCAGGGACTGGGTCACCATGGAGGAGGCTGGGTGTGAGATGGCTCCTGTGAGTATAGAGCACAGGAAGCACCCAGGCTCCCTCCATGCTGTCACAGGTAGTGAACTCAATACCACTGCTCCTGCGCATCCCATGGGTGGCTGCCAAAGTCCTGCCTGCACAGAGGTCCTTCATGGCTTTGAATAATGAGCTGTTGGCTGAGCACAACTCAGGCTGGGACCCAGACCAGCCTCCCCGAGATCTGATTGATGCTTTCCTGATGGAGGTGCTTAAGGTGAGAGTGGGCTGTGAGAAGGGATCAGGGTCTGTGAGCCAAGTGTTCTGGGAGGTGTGAGGCCAGGTGGGGCCTCAGCATCTCGCAGAGACACAGCTTCTGTGCCCAAAGGTGGTACATGGGAACATTTGAGCCGTTCCTCCCACTTTCCACTGAGGCCACCCTCTCTGCCTGTCTCAGGCCAAGGGGAACTCTGAGAGCACCTTCAATGAAGAGAACCTTCGTCTAGTCATACTTGAGCTGTTTGCTGCAGGGATGGTGACCACATCAGTCACGATGTCCTGGGCTCTGCTCCTCATGATCCTCCACTCAGATGTGCAGTGTGAGTTGGGCTCAGAATGAATGGGAACTTGAGGGTCTCAAAGCTTATTTGGGAAACTCATGGTTCAAAGCAGAGGTTCTTACAAGGCTACTTAAAGAGTGATGTCCTTCTCAAATGGACACGGCCTTTAACACTGGGTAGTGGAGGTTCAGGGCCAGGTCTCCAGGGACTGACCTGCATGGCGATGCTTACCTGTCCAGGCCGTGTGCAACAGGAGATCGATGAAGTAATAGGACAGGGGAGACGCCCAGAGATGGCGGACCAGGCCCGCATGCCCTTCACCAACGCCGTGATTCACGAGGTGCAGCGCTTTGCAGACATCGTCCCAATGGGTGTTCCCCACATGACATCTCGTGACACTGAGGTGCAGGGCTTCCTCATCCCCAAGGTAGGCCTGGGGCCCTCCTTCCCTAGCCTGGCCACTTCCAGCTGTGGCCAGGAAGTGTTCTGTCACCTCGTCCTGATACTCTTGGTGCTGCCAGGCTAAGCCTGTGTGAGTGGTGCTGCCCCCAGTGCTGCCTTTTACCTGCTGATTCCCCAGTGAATTTGGAGGATAAAGTAACCCAGGGCATGAGTTGTTAGAAGATCCTGTGTCCATGGGGAAAAGTAGGACTCTGGGCACCGTTGGAATCCCTGTACTGTTTCCTTGACATGTGCTCATGGATAGTCCTGAGAAGCTTCTGGGACTAATGGATAATTGAGAGGCTCCTTGAAACTCTGTACCCCACCAGACTGTGTGCACCTCATAGAGTATGCTTGTGGATATTAAGTGTCAGGATTCCTGTGTCCTGCATCTAGGCCACATTCATGCCATGTGTCTCCTTCCAGGGGACAACGCTCCTCACCAACCTGTCATCAGTGCTGAAGGATGAGACTGTCTGGGAGAAGCCCTTCCACTTCCACCCTGGACATTTCCTGGACACTGAGGGCCGCTTTGTGAAACGTGAGGCCTTCATGCCATTCTCCGCAGGTGATTGTAGTGGACCAGGCTTGCTGTCCCTTCCAGGGTGCTGTGGTTGGGAGGAGCCCAGACCTCAGTCTAACTGTACCCCGTCTGCTCCCACAGGCCCCCGCATATGCCTCGGGGAGCCCCTGGCCCGCATGGAGCTCTTTCTGTTCTTCACCTGCCTGCTGCAGCGCTTCAGCTTCTCGGTGCCTGAGGGGCAGCCCCGGCCCAGTGAGCGTGGTGTACCTGCCTTCATAGTGTTTCCATCCCCCTACCAGCTCTGTGCTGTGCCCCGCTAGAAGAGACACTATGTTTCTTATTTGTACCCTAAATGGCAGAGTTCATGTACAATAAACCAGTCTTGTGACTGTCACCTGGTGTCTGTATCCAAGCCTCCTCACTGAAAGCCCATGTGTGATGCCTTCATCCACGTGTCTAAAGCCAGCCCTGATTCCCTGCCTTATCCATCCAGGACTGACCACTGCAGTCACATTAGAAATGTGCATAGTAATACTCAGCAGGGGACAGCTCACCCCATGTCACCCGTGGAGACCCAAGACGGGTTGCCTGACCTCTATGGGTATCTGATAGGGGCGGTGTGTGAAGGGGTTTCTCTTGGGAATAATCACAACCCCTGGCAGAGTGCTGAATGGTGTTGGTGATCTCCAGGGTCATCTCAGGTTCAGTGAGTAGAAAATACAATAGAGACAGAAATGTTCTTGTACTCATGGTTTATTACAGTGACACTATACACATGCAAATTAGCAATACTGAAAGGCACAGGGTTGGCTTCCAGGAAGACAGATACAGGGTTCACCTGAGCTGTCTGAGGAGTCGCCCAGATGGTCAGTTCTCCCAGCCACAGGGTGACTGACACAATGGGCACTGCTTACCAGGGCAGATGCAGTCCCTCCTCAGTGTCCAGGGATTTTCTTGAGGTGCACTCCATTGGCACAGTACACTTACATGGCTGACCTCAGGGACTCAATTTCCTTCCACTGTGGGTCATATTCAGGCAGTCCAGGGCCCCACTTTGGCCAGGTTGCTGGCATAAATGGTGAGGTTTTGCTCACAGCTCCTCCAGGATCATCTCATCAGGAGGAATCTGCGACAGCCCTAGGGGTGACTACAGTCACCTGCTGCCTACCAAGAGCCAAGGATCTGCTGTTGCTGTTGCAGGATCCAACACATGAGCCTACCATTGTGACTCTGGCTTTTACATCAAAATGCCCTGGGCTCTTACATGAAAATGACACAGTCCTATGATACGCATCTTACTTTGTTTCATGGTGGATTATACCTACATAAGCTTTAGCCTCTTCCTCCACCACACCTTATTTTTTGCATGCTGATGGTCACTCTTGTGCATAGTCAGCAGATGCTCTTACTTTTAGCCTCATCTTACTCATTTCTAAGTGGGTAGAATATATTTCACACCCTTTCAGTCAGCTCCACCCTTTTGGTGGTGTGAAATATATTAATGCACAAAAGGCACATGGACCATGCACAGCTATCTTCATCAGGTAAAATTGAAGCCCCAATCTGCTTAGACAAATGCCTGCATTCCTTCCTCCACTACACCCTGGCAGCCACCAGTCTATTTTCTGTTTCTCTGCAATTGAGCACTGTGGGAAGTCATCACAGTGGAATCCTACACCATTTAGCTTTCTGATTGCTTATTTCACTTGAGGTCCCAGGCTCAGGTTTCCTTCACAGCATTGCAGACATCAGTACATCTTTCCTTTTAAGGCAGATTAGCTTTCCACTGTGTGAATTTGTCGTCGTCCTCCCTGTTCACATTTTCTCCTTACTTGGTTTAGTTTAGAGTGGGAAACCAGGGACTGAAAAGCTTTGGTGAAAATTTTGGAAATGCATAGTAGGATTATTTGAAGACATGAGAGGCCCCTCAAGACCCCTCACCCAAGCAGTGATATCGAAGGACAACACAACTCTGGGAAGTCACTGGGCTAAGAAGCTGTACATATGAATCACAGTCAGCAGAAGTCATGGGGCACAGTGTGGCTCCATGGTACAACACATGCCTGCTTTCTGATCACCTCTAATGTCCATGGCCAGCACCCCCTCTCCAAAGTCATCATGGCCTCACCTACCTGCTTCGGAAATGTGGAAATTGTATAAAATTTCATAAGCCTTGATTGCTTATTCAGAGGAGTGGCTGAACCGCAGAAAGAACAGTCAACACTGGAATCTTTTTGAAACCTAGTTTTGTCCTTTGCATCCACCTGTCCAGCTCAGCAGTTTCTCTGACATACAGCAGCCTGCCGTGACCATCAGCCCCATGGCGCGCAGGAGCACAAGACTTGGTGTAGGGATGGCTAAGCAAGTTCAGGCTGGGGGCAGGTGACTTCCAGGCTCACTGATTCCTGTCAGTGGATCTCCAGGGTGGGCCCCTCTCCCAATAGCTCAGTGTAGATAACCTCTGTAGCCAAGGTCAATGCTGACTGGTGTAAACAACTTACATAACCAAGGTCGATTCTGGCACGGGGCCACAGAGGTGAATCTGGTATAAATGGAGACTAAGCAGCCAAGGACTGCTAAGAGTGTACCGTGGTGAGGGCTGTAGGAGTGGCTAATCAGATGGACTCTGGCTCAGCAGCTGAGCAAAAGATGTTTAACCCAGTCCACGGCTCCGCAGCTCTTCTTTAGGATGCTCGAACCTCCAGTGATGTCCGTGGTCTACACTGGTGAAACACAGGGTTTACTTGTATTCTGGTGGCAATGCGTACTGGGTTTTGAACCCAGGGACCTTATCAGTGTGCTGCATCCTTTTTTATTTCTTATGGCTCAATACATGGCCCAGGATCATCCTAATTTTTTTTATACTAGGTTCTTTTTTTTTTTTTTGTCTTTTTTGTTTTTATCGGTACCAGGGATCGAACTCACGACTGCCTGCTTGCAAGGTAGGCGCTTATGCCGCTGAGCTAAATCCCCAGCCCCTTGTACTAGGTTCTTAACTCTTAAACTCGTGGTTGCTAGGCAGATGCTTGTTTTGGTGAGCTATGTCAAGGGCAATGGGCCATCTTAAATTTGAGCTCCTCCAGCCTCAGCCTCCCAGAGTGCTGGGATCACAGGAATGATCCATCATGCCCAATCCTTGTCACATTAATTTGAAGTACTGCATCTTCTGTGACAGCATCCACTGGCTCCACTAATGCACAGTGTATTTTACCCCATGACATAGGTGGGGCCTGCTTTGGGGAAGGGCAGGTGTGTTTTGCTAAGACAGTGAATTTCAGGAACATCTGTGCAGGTCCTGTGTAGACTATCACATCCAAAGCGTGTAGCACTGAAGCTCCGCCACACTGATCAGAAAGAGCTTCAGCCAGAAGAGAAACCACACCTTCCTGTGAAGGAGGCTCCGCCATGCTGATCGGAAAGAGCCTGAAGTAGAAAAGACACTGTGTCTTCCTGTGAGCCAGTGTACAAGCTGAGAACCCAGAGGAGCCTCCTCCCCAGCCCAGTGATTCCTAGGACTCAGAGGGAGATAATAGCAACAGAGCAGAAGGGAATGGCTTGATTCTTGTATTGTCTGGTTGACTCTGCAGCCTGGGGCTGCTGGTCTGGGCACCTAATTGGAGGAAGGTAGTGTGCATTGTGTCAGCTATGGGGGATGTGCTCCTGTCTTGCTTTTGAAATCCAGTGTTTGGTTCCTTTTGACTGTTATGCTTTAATTCCTGCATATGGGAACCTCAGCAACTATTTTGAAGATAACAGTGAGCAGTGTTGTTCTGTTTTGTCTTGTCCCAATGTATTGTTTTGTTTTATTCAATGTTATGTTTGATTGGTTTTATTGTTTATTGTTTGTTTGATTTTGCTATGTCTGATGGTATGGACAACTATTGTGAAGTTGGCAAGATACCTTGTGGTAGCCATTGCTGATCTGGTATTATCCTGTTGTGAAGTTCTGTACCACTTTCACTGTTTTGTTTTGATTGGCTTTGTTCTGTTTTGTTGGGGTCTATTCTCTTAAAAAAAAAAAAGTGCAGCCTTGTATCTGAGAGCACAGAATTTGGATGAAGACCATGATGCTGCACGGGAGCTTTAACCTCAGTGCCCACTATCTCCTCTGCCCTGGGAACCCAGAGCCACCTGCTGTGGCTTACTTTTCTTGCCATGAGCCATCAGTGAATTGAAGTATAGGGTATGACCAGCAGCGCCTGCACTGAAGGGCTGGGCCTTGAAGACTCAGCTCATTAATGCACATGTGTCCGGTGGCTGCACCATCCTGACTACAGGACCCTCACGTGAGCAGGACACTGGCTGAATCCCAGACACACCTTTCACTCCGTAACTCCATGAGGATGACTGCTGGACAGCTTGACACGCCAAAACGAATGGTAAATGAGGTCAAACACCTGGACCTTCCTGCTAGCTCTGCCGTGATTCTATGATGGTCTTGGTTCGGAAGTCTATGCCAGCTGGGTGGGCACACTTGGCTGAAGCCATTAGCAAGGCACAGGCTGGATCTGAGAAGTGCCACAAGTAAGTGAGCCTCGGCCTCCTGGTGACTTGAGTGCCTCGGAGCTAGTCTCCTGACCTGCAGATCCCACACTGTAGCTGTTTGCATCCTGCTAACCCTCACACAGGATGGTTCAGTGGTGCCTCAGTCCCCAGCCAGGCTGTCTTGACTTGAAGTGGCTCTCAACTGGCCAGCAAAGACCTCCATGAAGTATCCCATGATGTCCTGCTGCAGCCTGAAGCACAGTCTCCAGGGCTCTCAAAGCTCTTCTACCTTGCCATGTGGGTTCTCTCACATCTCTGTACCCGCTCTAGATGTGTACCTGAAGCAGGGATGCATGTGTCACCTTCCCATGGTGTCTCAGGGTCACCCCAGTAGAACACAACCAGTGTGTTTGTCCCCAGCTCTGCTAAGTCTCATTCCTCTCCCCTTGGTATCACATACAGAGGACAAGAGCAGGAACTGCAGCATCTAGCCTTTGCTCCCTCCTCCACTCTATGGCCGCACAGTAAAGAGCAGTTGGCTCCTGCCAGAGGACCATGGGCAGCCTCAGCTTTTTATGAGTATAGGCGGTCTGCTGTATAGCTCAGTGTGGTGGAGTGTTATGCTTAGTCTTGAGTACAGGGGTGGTGACAGCCTCCATGTGTCTATGTAGAGGAACAAGTGGACAGATCTCCCTGAATGCAGAACTATTACCTCCACATCCATTAAATTAAACCTTATTTCCCTATATTGCTATGTACTGAGTGAGCTAGCTGTACCATTTCCTTCTATCTCCACTTGGCTCTAAGCAATGCAAATCAGGCCAGCTGAGGTACTGATATGTAATCCTCAATACTAGCTGACCATTTCCCGTTTCCTCCCATTGTGTTCTCTATAAAAGGACTGAATTG